ACATTGTCTTGGCCAGCGCCTTCTGTTAGGACTTGGAGAATACTATGGGGTTGCAACTCTGAGCTGTGTCAGCATGCTAAGAAAGGTTATCCATGATGGCGAAGCAGCTTCATCAGGACCATCTGGATGGGGTCTTCAGTTGGCAAGGAGTGGGCTCACCTCCATACAGCATGGGCAGGAGGGGAGTGGTACCCAGGGAGCAGGGTGGGCTGGATGGAACAGCACCTGGGGAGGCATCACTGAGGGGGTGCTGGCTGAAGGGACCTAACAGGACAGGCAGGGCAACAAGACGTCCCCTGGGGCTGGTGGGGATGAGAAAGTAGACCAGGAATCCAGGCTGACAGCCATAGAGGCTAATTAGATGTCAAGAAGGGGAGATTTCTGGCCAAACTGGCTTAGCAGGGTTCTAGCTAAGACTGATTTTATAAGGATTTGCACCGATGGGCCTGGAACTTGCTCAGGAACCTGCAGTTGGGTCAAGCACAGAATCTTTGTCAGTGGGCATCTGTCCACTCAGATGTAAATGTGACTTTGGTTTAAGGAATGTTTTCTGGTTTGGAAGGAACTGAGCCATGTGATGAAAGCATCCCTGAAACTGCAGATAAGTGAGTTCCATTGTGTGACCATGAAAAGAACATTTATGTGAGATAGAGGATGCTGTTTTCTTGTGCAACCTCAGGAGTAACAACTTTCATTCCATGCTTCATGTTCTGGGAGCTTCAGAAGCCCAGGACCTAGGGTGGAGGGCTGCAGTGGCTCCCTGAAGGTGAGGACAGGTGGCATGGCTGCTGTGTGCCTGTGCCCTGTGACAGCAGGGAGCAGCAGGAGACCCGGGCTCTACAGATGTGACCTTTTGCAAACAGCTCTGGAAGGTACAGGTTTAAAGTACAGTTGTAACCGTGGCTGGGTGTCCTCTGAGCCACGTCTCATGCCTGAGAGGGTGCCTGCCCTTGCCCTGCCCCTGTGAATCTGCTCGTGGGTCCTGGAGCGTCATTGTGCACACTTTTGGGGGCTCAGTCTGGGATGCTCCTCTCATTGTCCAGTTTTGGGGATCAGCGGATCAGTGTGCAGACAGCACTTTCCATCTGTTGGTGGCAGTGCCACCATGGTACATACTCATACCTCCACCTGTTATTGGGAGCCTTGCTGCAGTGCCTTTGGATTTTCTGTGGTGCAGCAGTGTTACCTGTGGCTGAGTCTCACACACCATCTCTCTCACTTCTTGTGTTTTGTTTTGTTTTTGTGGTAAGGAGGATTGAGCCAAGGGCCTTTGCACTGACCCATATCCCCAGCCCTTTTTCTTGGAGACAAGATTTCACCAAGTGGGCTGAGTTGCCCGAGCTGGGCTCACATTTGCAATCCTTCTGCCTCAGCCTCCCAGAGTGCTGGGATGACAGGCGTACACCGCCACACCCGGCCTCTTCCATGTCTGGCATTGCTCAGCCATGGGACAGGATTGACTACAGTGTGCCCACAGCACTATTTAGTTCTTTTCCAGTCTGGGAGAAGTTTTCAGTTCTCACTGTTGTGCATGATGGTAGCCCTAGGTTTGTACAGATAGTCTACATCAGACTTAGAGTTTTACTTTCTGTTTCCAGTTGGTTATGAGATTTTTGTCATATGTTGGTATCAAAAGTGGCGAAATACTTTGTAACAGTGGCATCTATTTACTGATATTTTGAATTTTTTTGTAGCAGTGTTTTATGACAGGCATTTCTTCTCTTAAAATGTCCTGTTCAGTCTTTGGAATGAAGAGCAAGCTATAACTAGTCACTTTTTTCTACTGTCTGGAAATACTTATATACGCTGGATATTAGTTTTATTTTCTTAAAAGTTTAGTAGAAGTCACAGGTCAATCTGCCTGAAGTTCTTGTGTGGGATTTCTTTGTTTTTGTTTTTGCTTTGTTGAGACAGGGTCTTGCTGTGTAACCCAGGCTGGCCTTGAACTTGTGACAGTCCTCCTGCCTCAGCTTCCTGAGTGCTAGGTTTACAGCCATTTGGCACGACACCTAGCTGTAGGATTATTTTTAATTAAAAATTTAATTTTTAAAGCCAGGCGCAGTAGCACACACCTATAATCCCAGTTACTTGGGAAGCTGAAGCAGGAGAATCGCAAGTTCAGAGCCCGCCTGAGCAACTTAGTAAGACCTTGACTCAGATTTTAGAATAAAAAGGGCTATAGCAGTAACACCACTCTCTAGGTTCAATTCTTAGCCCCCCCCAAAAGGATTTAATTTTTTAAATGTATAAAGGAGTGTTAAGTTTTGTTTCTTCATGTGACCATTTGATAAATTGCAGTTTCTTTAAAGTCTCCATTTCATTCAAACCATCTAGTGTATTTGAGTAGAGTAATTTAAAGCGTCCATTTGTTAGCTTTTTAACTTCTGAGAACATGCGTTTCCCTGTGTCCTGGGCTACTGGTGTTGGTAGTTTTTCCTTTCTCTTTCTGTCCTTGACCAATCTCACAATTTCTCCAGTTTTCTTTCTACAAAGTGTCTTTGCTTGTTGATTTCTCTATTGTATTATTTTTTGTCTTGCTTTATTATTTCTTTCCCTCTAACTCTATTGGGCTTAATTTTCTGTTTTCTAGTTTCTTAAGGTGAATGCTTACATCACTGATTTTTAGCCTTTCTTCTCCTCTGATATATTTAAGACTATAATTTTCCCTCTGAATAGGACATAGCGGCAGACCATAAATTTTGAGATGTCATAATCTCATGAAGCTTAAAGTAACATTTTCTTTATTATAGAAGCATTGTGTCCTCAGTGCCCTCAACTTGAAAATCAGACAGGCACAGTAGAAAGAGCAAATGTCTATGCTCACCTCACCAGAAGGTAACCACATGGGTGTCCTAGGATGTGGACTTCCAGGGCTCGTTTCAAATGGATATTACTCTACCCTTTCTAAAATCCACACATACTATAAGAAGGTAGATAAATGCACTGTTTTAGAGACTTTTTGCTACCTTTTTATTCATTAAAAAATAAAAAGCTACAAATGAGGGTAATGTTTTTCTGTTTTTAAACTGGAAAATAATTATTCAATTTTTAAGTGGGCATAGGACTAATAAGATTTTCTGTTTCTTCTTGGAACCATTTGATAAACTGCATTTTTCTCAGAAGTGGCCATGTTTTGAACTTGCATATTTTATAGACTAGCTGAAGAAGCAGCTATTCAGAAAGATTTGGAATCAGCATTGGTCTGTCAGCCAAACTTAGCGGGTCCCAGTTATTGATTCATGCTTACAAATGAAATGGAAAATTACAGTATCCAGAAATCTAGCAGTGATTGAGGAAAGTGATAAAGCATACTAATTATGGGCTAGACCATAATCGTATATCATGATGTTATGAGGATTAGTTTTGGCTTTATGCCAAGTTCGAGGTAGCCGTAGGTTTCATAGATACAGTTGCTAAGTGTATCAGGAGAAAACTGAGAACTCTCATTCAAAAATAGCAGTGGAATTGTTCACCGTCCCCACAGCACAGTATCTAATCTGACAATGGCGCAAAGCTGGGGAGGGAGTTTAGGGGGCCTATGTCATACGGGAGAGATGAGATCTGGTGATGGTTAGAACAGAGAGTATCCTGAGTATGTTCACACTCAATGTGAGTTGGGCTGCGTACATAGACAACACGGTGTGCGGGCAAGCAAAGAACCCTGGGCTCTGTGGCTGCGATCTCATCACTCTGTGGACAGTGCTATGGGGTTATTAAGAAGACTTGGATAAAATGTGAAAGCTGCTTTGAAGAACTAAACATGGAAGACAGATTAGGCACATTCTGATTTCACAAGGAGATTAAAGCCCTTGAGTAGAAGTTACAGGGAAAGTGGGTTTTTATTCAGTATAATAACATCTGGTCTTTATAGAGTGTTTCACAAATTTCATATACATTACTTAATCTTGATTTCTTATAAAAATCTGTGATGAGGTCGTGTACAGCTGAGGAAAATTGAACAAGAATTTCCTAAAAATGAGACCTGTCTGATAATCACTGTGAGGTGTGGCAGTCAGATGTAGATCCGCTCAGGCGGGGCCAGAAGGTGTGAGCCGTGGTGACAGAAGAACCAGGTGTGGGCATGGTCTCTGTGGTTGGTAACCTTTAAGGGTGTGCAGACCTGGCTGTGTGCAGTGTGGGATTTCACATCATTTTTTCCTCAATCTCAATGTGCACCTTCAAGTACTGGGGGTGCCTTCTGTCAGCCATGCCCAGTGCGGGTTACTCGTTGGAGACCTTCCTTGTCATGTCGTAGGACTGATCCACTGGGCATTTCTCCTCTTGACCAGCACTCCTGGCCACCCCATTGTGCCCCATCCCTGCTTTCCTCCTGGCCCACCTGTCCTATGCCGTGTGACTCCCTCCAGCACAGGAGGCTCGGCTGTGAGCTCTCCTGCCAGTCAGTGGTAGATGGTGGCAGTTTGAAGTCAGCTGTACTGGTAGTGTTTACACCAGGAAAATTGGCAAGAGGTGTCAGTCAGCCAGTTAGCTGGCTATTAACCATTTACCAGCACAGCACATCGATGACCTATTTCATTTATGTACCAACTTCCCAGACTCAATCTTCATTTCAAATGTAGTTTGTTATTGATTCAGGTAGGCAAGTCCTTGTTGTTTATATTTTATCCTTACACACAAGAAACTCCTAAAAGATACTAAAATGAATGTAAACAATGTAAGAATCCATGCGTTTACAGCCCCCCCAAGGCCATAGGAATCAAATTTTATACAACTACTCTTATATCCTTAAAAATACAATAGATGTCATAATTATAACACTCCTTTTGGGGGGAAAAAGTAGGCTGTTAATTTGTGTTATGGTTAATCCCAGGATCATTGGTGCTGTAATTACTGTGAAGTAAAGTTGAAAATCAATGATGTAAATAGTTTAGATTCCTTTTCTATACAGCTTATCAAGTCCTGTGGAAAATTTATTTATCCTAGTATGTTTGTTACGATCCCATTATACTGAAAATTGTTGCATTTTAATATTTGAACAGATCAGGATCCTCATGATCAACCAAAGAAAAGAATTAGAAAACATAAACTGAAGAAAAAATTTAAAAATTCCAATAATGTTCGTGTAGACCAAGCAGAATTAGAGGAACAGCAGAGCCTTTTACAAGAAAAATTACAGCCACAGCACACAGATGGCCCTACAATAAGCAAAAATAGGAAAAGGAAGCTGAAAAAGAAACAGCAAATTAGAAGGAAGAAAGCTGCTGGCTTAGTCACCAAGGCCTTCAGTGCCAGCTTTACGTATCAACCTGAGGAGAATGGCAGTGAGCAGGAAGATGTCCCTGGGGCTGCTGGAGATGGGGGCCCCCGCGCCATGGAGGAGGCCAGAGGGGAGGCCATCACGGAGCACAACACAGCCCCCTCTCAGGAAGACGAGGAGATCGCCAACAGGAAGGCCGGCGGAATCCTGAACTTTTTGAAGTTGATGCAAGAAATGTATTTCTATGATGGTAGGTTTTTTCCTGCTTTCGTTTGTGTAATGCCATCCACTTAATATTTGGAAAGATAACCAAGTACAGTAAGACACTTAAATGTTTATAGTATAAAGCACATAAGACACTCAAAGTAACTAATTAGTTTCCAAGCAAAATCAGAATATTTACATTATTTCTACCAAAGAATTTGTGCTGTTTCCTTGGCAAATGTGGGTTGGACTTCAGTTCTTTTTTTTTTTCGCTCTACTATGGATTGACCTCAGTGTCTCATGCATGCTAGGCAAGCACTCTGCTACTAACCTACATCCTCAGCCATTTGTCATTTTGAGACAAGATCTCACGAAGTTCCCCAGTCTGGCCTCAAACCTGTATTCCTCCTACCTCAGCCTCCTGACTAGCAGGGGTTATAGGCATGCACCACCAGACCTGCTGGGCTAGTGTTCTTTATTCCTCTAAAACCAGATTTTGGAATGTGTTGGTGTTCAAGAGTATATTTCTGAATAGAGGTGATACCCTTTTAGAGGTATTGAACTTATGTTCATTCTTATAAGCTAGTAGAGAAGTAAATAACAGCACAGCTCTCTCCTTAGGGTGCATTTTACTCCTCCACATGTAACTTACTGATTTAAGTATTCGGTGAGCATTTTTGAGTATTTGTATTGATATATGATCCAAATAAAAATAGATGTATTCTCATGGTTGACAGTGTTTACAATTATATAACACTTTATTAACAACCAACCAAGGAAAGCCGCAAGTGCTCACCGGGAGCTGGCATGGTGAATCGCATGACAAGACCCTCCAAACCAGCTCTCTTCCCATTTGGATAACATTCCTAGGATGTCCAGGAAATCCACGTGTCAGCAAGATGTGCGACAGAGCTCTTGTGAATAACACCGAGAAGTGTCAGGTCTATAGTAATGTGGCAAGTAAGTGACTGATTTAAACACCACTATAGGTCACTTTTAACCAATACACTGGTGGCAGGTGACATTCATCCTTTCTTCTTTAGCAGATTTATCAATGGTTTCATTCACAGATTTGAAACACATCTAACAAATACCTAAATGACACAAATAGGATACATCTAACACTCCAAAAGAGAAACAAGACTCTGCATATGAAAGAAGAGCCTGTGGCAGGCCAGCAGTCACGCTGAGAATAACTGGAAAAGCCAAATTAAAAATAAAAAATCTGTTGAAGGACTCTGAGACCCACTGAAGAAACCAGTTTTACAAAGGCAAAAGCTCTAGAAGAGCCCTGAGCCAGTGTTAGCATCCACTTTTCCCTTCAGGTCCTGCCACTTCTAGTGTGAGCACTGAGTGAAGGTCTGGGGAAAGGACCCAGTGGAGCCCTCAGAGGCAGAGCACCCAGCAGGGCATTTACCAAACAGAGCATCAAGGGGCTGGTGAAAGAAGAGGCTCAAAAATAAAACTCTGCTAGATTCCCTCAGAGCCCTGGCCAAAGGCTGAGTAAACGAGGCCACCAAGGGCTGAGCAGTCTGGAAGAGCTGACCCAAAAAGGCTTCACCTGCAGGCTGTGTTCTCGGAGCTGGCAAGGGTCAGCCACACACTCAGCCACCCTGTGTTGGCCAGGCCCTGCGTTGGTGGTGTCGACCCACCCACTCTGTCTCCCAGAGAGAAACACTACCATCGAAGACCTTCGTGATTCTCAGAGACCTACCTTCAGCACCAAGAGATGGGACCACATAGCATGAGCTATGCCAGGAGACCAGCAGAAGGATGGGCAGGAGCAGAAGGTCTTATTGATGCCGCCAGGCAGGGTCTTTAAAGTAACCGTGACTAAGATGTCTGAAGAAGAAAGATGAAAAATGGGAATCTGTTAAGACAATCAAATGGAATTTCTAGACCTGAGAATTATAGTAGCTAAATTCAGAACTCAGAAGATGAGCTTAAACAGCACATTAGATTCACCATAAAAGAAAATTAGCAGCTGGGAAGACAGATCAAAGAAAGTCCACAGGATGAAGGATAGAAAGAAAAAAGTAGAAAGTGCAGAAAGAGCCTGACTGAATAGACACAGTGAGCCAGTCTGATACGCATGGTACTGGAGTCCAAGGTACAGGAAGGGGACTGAGTAGAGGCCATTTCTAAAGAGATGATGGAGACAGGGGGTTCAAAATGATAGAAGACACAGCCTAGGGTTTCAAAAATTCTGTGGACTGAAGCAAGTTAATACAAACAATACCACACCCAAGCATACTCTAGTTAAACTGGAAAACCAGTGATAACATCTGAAAAGCAGCCAAGAAATAATACTTGTCCTCACAAGGCCAATACTGTACGTAGGCCTTCAGTAGAGACAGGAGAAGCCAGGCGCTGTGAATATGAAGAGTTTTGTTCCATTGTCAGGTTTGTCCTGCTGCTGTCCGTGACTCTGAGTCACATGTCATACTTGGAAGGTGTTTTAAAAGACAGACTTATAAACAGACCCTGAGTTTCCATTGTTTAAACAGTGGCATTCTACTGTCTTGTTTGCTTGTCAGAAGTCTCTGATTCTCTCTCCTGGGAGCAAAGTTTTATATCCCAGCTGTCTCATTCTAAGCAGAATGAATGTCTGAGACTTCTGTAGGAGATGAAAGTCTGTCTTTAGCTTCTAAAAATCAAACCAAAACTGTATTTCTAAGTGATGGTGACTTCTTTCAGGTGTCTCCAAAGACATGGATTCAGCTGTCCGTGTGGAAACTGCTGAAGAGCTGCTGCGCTGTCTAGAGTCTCACCGCATGGCTCCCTCAGATGTGCTCATTCTGGACCACATGAAAACGCTGCTGCTGCTGCACGACACAGCGAGACTGCAGCGTGCCCTGGAGCTGCTCCCGGAGCACTGCGAGATGCCTCTCGGTGAGTCCTGCACATGCGCTCATCGTGCTGCCTCACGCCCACCGGTCAGGGTTCTCCTAGAAACCCACCAAACAGCAGAGGGTCGGGAAATGCAGCAATGCGTATGTGCCGGGAGAGCGGAATCCCACAAAGAATGGGGGCTGCATGTGCCTCTGCTTGATACAGAATTTCTCACACTTGCAGAAGTGTACGGGCCACCTAATTTTATAAACTTGTGAGCTATCAACTCTGAGAGCCTATTTTTCTAAATTTAAACAGTAGTGGAAGAACTTATTTCTTTCCCCTTTTCTTCCCTTTTGCTAGATTAGGAAGGTAATTTTTTTTTACCCTTCAAAGATTTTGATGTCTTATGAACCCCTAAAGTTGTTTTATTTTTTATTTTTGAGCAAAACACTTTAGATCATAGGGGGCCGGGGATTTAGCTCAGTGGGTCCGGCGCCTGCCTTGAAAATGCAAGGTTCCTAGTTCGATCCCTGGTACCAAAAAAAAAACCAAAAAACCATTCATCATAGGGAATTTGTAGCTGTACATGATCTATCTGGCTTCTTTTTTTCCTATCCCCCCTTTGTTCCATCTTCCCTCCTTATTTACAAAAGCTTTGCTTCCATATTTTCCTTCTATTCTTTTTTCTTCTCCTTCTTTCCTTCCCCCTCCCTTGTTCCCCTTCTCATTTGAACATTTTTTCCCATTTCCCAATCTTATTACACATTTTGTTCCTTATATCCACTTTCTATTTCTCACACCAGAGAAACAATGTGATATTTAAACATGTGTATCCAGTTTATTTCACTTAAGAGTATGGTCTCAAGGTGCATCCATTTAGCTAGAAATGTCTCAAGCTCACCCTTCTTTATGGCATAGTAGTACTCCGTTGTATGAAAAAACCACATCTTCTTTATCCATTCATTGGTTGATAGGCATTTTAGGCTGTTTCCAAGATTAGCAATTACAGACTGTGCTGCCATGAACAAGGGTGTGCATATATCGCTGTGGTAGGCTGCTTTTAATTCTTTCAGCAAGATACCAAGAAGGGGAGTAGCTGGGTCAAATGGAACCTCTAGTTTTAGGGTTTTTTAGGAATTTTCACGCTGTTTTCTACAGTTGAACCCCTGGAGTTGAAAGAGTAAATTATCATGATGACTTTTCTTATGATTATTTCCCTGGTATTTGTTGAGTTCCCACTCCATGCAAGTTGTAGTATGCTAGGGTCAACTGCATGCTTGTTGTGCAGTGCCATGTGTGGGGACACACAGAAACCTGCCCATGCTGCAGGCAGAGCATGCACTGCCCCGAAGGAAGCACAAGGCAAGTTTCACTTGAGTGAGTGAATGAGAGGGACCTGCAGCTGGCTGTGAGGAGCTCCTGGACAGGTGACATGTGCGTCCGTCCCCAGACCTTACCGTGCAGCGAAGGGCCGACACAGTCTGAGGCCAGATGCAAACCAAGTCAAGAAACAGTAAAACAGTCACAGTGTGTGCTGGGAGAGCAAGCAATCAAGTGGTGGGGACAGTGAGCATTTTACTTCTAAATCGAGGAGGTCATCGTGGGTTGGGTGTGGGAGGGAACTGCGGCATGTGTGTGGAGGAGGGGGTGACTCACAGCCACCTGTGCTGGGAGCAGCTCAGTCATGGGCTCCTCATGACAGGTGGAGCAGGCTCCACCCTCGGGAGCTTGTATCCTCGTGGTGGAGACAAAATGAGCCAGAGAGCAGGTGAAATACAAGGCTGGGGGAAGAGCAAGGAGCAGGTGCAGGTGTTCTCACTGCCAAGTACGACCTTTCTGAGAGGGCAGTGACCCATGAGTCAGGAGCAGGAGACAGTGCTATGGAGGTGATGGCTCTGGGGGCCATGGCAACCTGTGGACTGTTATTTAGAGAAGCAAGAAGCTCTTGGCAGGCTTCATGGCAGGCTCACTGCCCTCAGCAGGTCTGTGGGCTGCTGTGTCGAGACCAGAGTGAGGGGAGCAGACAAACACTTACATTGGAAATTGCACCTTTACATAATCTCTCTTGGTTCTTGTAATTATATTGTATATCTAAGATGTACCAATAAAATAAAAATTTTTTTTAAAAATTACATATGAACCTGTCTTATATAAAGTGGGTTCCCTTTGAACATGCAGCAGAATATGCAGTTAAAGTTTTTCTCTATCAGCTGGGTGTGGTGGCGCATGCCTGTAATACCAGTACTAGGAAGGCAGAGGCAGGAGGATCACTGGGAGTTTGAGGCCAGCCTGGGCTACATAGTGAGTTAAGGACAGCCTGAACTGCCTAGTGAGACCCTGTCTAAAAAACAAAACAAAACAATACCAAAAGAAAACAAAGAAGTTTTTCTGTATCAAGCTATTTTGTCAAATAAAATCTAGTAAATGATAAAGCTTTGTGTTCAGACTCTGGATTTGCCTAATGCATATTTGGCCTACATAACTCTTTGGAACTTTATGAAATTAACTGGTGGCTTTATCTCTCATCTCTATAGGGATAGCATTTAAAAGTAGGTATAAAGTGTTTTTGTCATGTCTCATTTTTCTCTTCACTGGCCCAGGAATTTTTTACTAAATCATAGATACTTCCTTTGAGTAGGATGTAGACATCTTTCACAAGGTCCATGCGTGGGCTTTCACAGTGCTGGGACCACGCTGGTGCTCAGGAGCCAGATAGAGCTCACATTCCTATGTTGCCTTGCGTCACCGTCGAGAGTGTTATAGGCCAAAGCTGCCACTCACTGTGTTGATCTCAGGTGCAGGCACTGAGAGGTGCTGTAGGAATCATTCCGATCTTGAGGAGAGGCGGCTTGGAGATGTCAGGCACCTGCCCTGGGCAGAAGAGCACTTGCCTTGGGAGGGTCTTGGAGTGGCTTCTGTGGAGTGGGTGAAGGTCAGACCCCCCTCCTCTCAGCACCCCACCTCTGGATCCAGTCTGGTTTGGAAATGAAGCATCTATGTCAGAGCAGTGGGCCAACTCCAAAGCCAGGCCTGGCATCTGACTGGACGGGGCGGTGTCTTCCTCTCTGCCCTGCCCACAGGCTTGGTGTGCTCTCTCCATGACTGACAGCTGCAGAAGTAGCAGATTCTTTGTGAATGAGATCCTGGAGCTTCCCAGTTGTAAACCTGACATTCAAGCAGAACCTGGCTCATGGCTACAGTTCTCCAGGAAGCCAGGGAATTATTGGGGAGTAATGTCAGAAATGCTCTGGCTCTTGCTGTCATGGTGGAGCCCTGGCCCTCATGAAAGCTGAATGCTGTGTAACCCATCACATCTCACTTAAATTCTAATCACCTTCCAGTTGTCTGCCATTGATATGAAATTGTATTTCATTTTCATTTCAAGCTGTATATGGCTTTCTTTCAGATCAGATTTTAAATCTACGGTATTGTAGGTTATAGTACTATGATAGTATAATGTTCAGGCCCAGTAGAACTTGAGAACACAGATAAACTACAAATATTCTGAATTGCCCTACCACTTTGTCATATTTCCAACATGATGGATGATTCATAAGTTGTGTTGTGTGACTAGCAACATCATTTTTATACCAGGGTTGCATTGCACTAGATTACAAGGGGCTGATCAAAAACTACAGTATGTGTTTAAATTTTTTAAAAAAGATAAATTGCATTAATCCCCCTCAAAATAGTTCCCTTTGCGTCAAACACATTTATGCCATCATTCTTGCCAGGCTCTGAAAGCAGTTCTGGAGCCTTCCTCAGAGATGTGATCAAAAATAAGCGAATGCTGCTACCTCATGCCATGCAACAGAAAAACAGGCTCATAAAAAGATGCCAGTGTGTCCTCATCCACCTTATTCACCAGATCTGGCACTTTGCGACTCTGGCTCTTCACCAAAGTTAAAATGACCTTGAAAAGTGAAGGTGAACATTTTGAATCAATTCAGGATGTCAGGGCAGCCAGGACAGTGCAACAAAAGATACTCACAAAAGAATACATACAGAGCTGCTTCAGAAAGTGGCAAGAACAATAGGCTAAGTGCATTTGAAACTAGGGGAAGTATTTTGAGGGGATTAATGACAACATGTCTTTTACTGTAATAAATGTTTTAAAATTTGAACATTCACTATATTTTTTAATCATCTCTCATATTTCAAGGTTTACTTTGAGCCCAAAGACTAATATCCACAAAATAATACTTTCTGATTTATTATTTGTCTATATTTTCTTTTTGTTTTTGCTTTCCAGACCACGCCAGAGTAATCTCCGCTTTCTTTAATTACTGGATTACACATGTCTTTCCAGAGAAAAACAGTGAATAAAACCAGTATGTCTCTTTAAGAAGAATTAATATTTTTAAGAAAATGTGAATGACAAAGTTGGCGGAGAGTTCATTCTTATATACAAAGAAGATTAAATTCTTAATATTTTCTTTGTATCTCAAATCCTGGAGACTTCGAAGAGGTTTCTGCCATATAATTTATTCCTGTGTTTGTATGTAATGGGTAAGATTATGAGATTTTAAACATCTGAGACTTGAAATGAGAAATAGGGATAAAATTGAAAATTTTACTTATTTGCAATTACATGTCTTGAATTGCTACATAAAACTTGGTTGTTTTTCTCATTCCTCTAAAAAATTGAAAAGGGACATTGTATTAAACTATGTAGTTGTTTTAGGCACTTTCTGCAAAATACACAACACCTGGACTTTGAAGAAGGAGATGTCTATTTTAGCCCACATCTCAGTCCAGTCAGCTAATTCTAACGAAGAAACAGCACAGCAGAGGGCTTGGCAGAGGAGAAGCTGCTCAGCTCATGGCGGCCAGGAAACAGAGCAAAGGGAGGCACAGGTGGAGAGAGAAACTCCTCCGGGTCATGCCCTCAGTCACCCACTTCTTCCCGCCAGACCCCACCTCCTAACAGCAAATCAGTGTAAGCCTCTGTAATCCAGCCACCGTCCAAAAGTCTCATCTCTGAGCACATAAGACTTTGGGAGAATGTCTGGACATAAATGATAACAATAGTTTAAAGTTGTTATTTATTTTTAAATCACCTTGTGTCTGAAAATCTTTGCTTTAAGGATGCCTTATGGATATTAAAAACCTCCAGTTAAAGTAGTTTTATTATAATTGAATTTATTTTTTCTTTCTTCTCTAAGTTGAAAATAATGTCAAGAGCCTGTTTTTCCCATTTTAGCTTTATTTTTGTCAAGGAAATAGTTGCCAGTTTTTAATAATCCTGACTTTTAAAAGTACCATTCAATTGGAACAAAATTTTAGGAGGACATTGACTCTATCTGTGAAAATAATGACTTTATGGTAATAAATAAATATCTGTATACACACACACACCCCCACATACACACAATTCACCACCATTTTTAAATGGACTGTTGGACATTCGGTGACACTGAGTTCCTTCCTGCGGCTTAAGAACATCCCTCAATGTGTGAGAACCGCGCTTTATGCATCCATCCCTCTGTTGACAGATGCATGGATTGTCTCCCCCTTTTGCCTCCTATGGACAGTGCTGCTAGGAGCATGTATGTACAGGGCTCTGGGCACCTGTGCCCATTCTCAGGGTGGAATTGCTGATCATGTAGTAACTCTGCTTGCCATTTGGGGAAACTGCCAGATCGCCTTCCCAGCGATGGCGCCATTTCACATCCTCCTGAGCAGCGTATAAGGGTTCCAGGTTCCCCGTACCCTCCTCAGCCCTTGTGATTTCCCCTTTTCTTGATGATAGCCATTCTGGTGAGTGTGAGGAAGTATCCCTGGGTAATTGTGATTTTTGTTTCCCCAATGACTAATAATGTTGAGCATGTTTTTATGTGCTATTGGGCCATCTGTGTGTCTTGTTTGGAGAAATGTCTGTCCATTTGTTGCCTATTTGTGAGTTAGGTTGTTTGGATTTTAGTTGCATTGTACATGTTTTGTGTATATTCTGGTTTTTAATTCTTTATCAGATATGTGATTTGGAAATAGTTCTCCCATTTCTGAGGCATACTTTTTTTACTTTCTTGGTAGTGTCTTTTGATAGGCTAAATTTTTTAATTTCCATGAAGTTTGACTTCTTTATTTTCTCCTTTTTATGCCTGTTATTCTGGTATCTAAGAAATCACCACAAACCCAATGTTGTAAATATGTTACTTTTGTTTTTTTCTGAGAGTTTTAGAGTTTTAACTCTCACATTTAACTCTCAGTTTGACACATTTTGAGTTCGTTTGTGTAACAGTGTTAGGTAAAGGGCCATCTGCCCAGGTGTGGAGCACTTGGGGCCGTGTCCTTGTCTGAGGAAGGTGGCTCTGGGAAGGCAGAGTAGGAAGGGTGGGTGCTGAGAACAGAGGTAACCCTGCAGCAAAGGCAGGGGCAGCTGGGGCTGGGCACCCAGCTCTAGATACCAGTTCAGAGCTGCCTGAAGGTTCATGCAGTTTATTCTCAGTTGCTTCTCATGTGCACAACAATTCTGAGAGGGCTCAGCAGAGGCAAGCAGGGCTGGGAATCTGAGTACCACAGCCTCCACTCTGAGGAGTACCCAGAGGCAGCCAAGGCTTTGCTGCTTGTCTGAGTGTGGCCTACATATTGTTACACCGGGATCGAACCTGGGGGTGTGGCCATGGCTGATGCAGAATGGCTTCATTCTGGAAGAGCCAGTAAACCATGTAGGCATGAAGGGTCATGCCTGCTACCTACTTTTTTTTTTTTAACAAGTATGCTTAGATATAAGAAGTGTAGTGTGGTGTGCAGTCGTCCATTTTCAGTTGCTGTAATAAAAACCTGAGGCTAGGTTCTTTATGAAGAAGACTTTTATACCCAGTCTTCAAGGCTGGGAATCCAAGATCAGAATAGGCCTGCCCCTTGGTGAGGCCCCTTGACCATCTTGTGGCTGATGGCCATCATTTGTATGGTGGTTTCATTTTGTAAACTTGGGGGGTCTTTGGGGGTCACAGTGATTGACTGGGTGGCCCAGCTGGTATTAGAGGAAGGGAAGGATAGTACAGCCTGGCCCCCATGGCACCCGTCCTTCGAAGGTTTGCCGAAAGTTTCTGTAGGTGAGACGCCTGTTCATGAGCGCTGAGTGCAGACCAGCTGCCTCAGAGAGGCACAGGTGCCTTCATAGTCGTAGCAGATGCTGACCATTCAGGCCACAGCAGAGCTTCCTCCTGTACAGTATCTTCACCCCCACCCATGAAGGACACACCCCAGACCTCCCTACTGTGCTGAGAATGGTACAGAGCCCCATATACTCTGTGTTGTCCTGAATTCCCGGCATTGTTTCTGTCTAGTTTCAGAATTAACCTGCCCTACCATGTTTAGGCCCCAGTCCTTCCCTTCCTTCCTATTCTTATGCTTTGGGGCCATTCTTAAATAAAGTAAGGGCTGCTTGGACCCAAGCACCACAGTACATGACAGTAAACCTGATCAAGTCAGCTGCTAAGTGACAAGCAGGCAGGTTGTGTATCCAATCCAGTTACCCTGGACAAAGGGATAATTCATTCCCTGGGCAGGACAGGTTGGGATAGTACAAAATTTCACCACACTTGAGGGCACAATTGAAAAAGTAGGGGTTGTTTATTTCTGAAACTTTTCAATTTAATATTCAGTCTGAGGTTGGCTGCAGGTAACTAAAACCATAGATTAGGGGAGACTACTGTAACAAGAGCTATTGAAGTCTCAGGCGGCAGCATCCCTCAGGCTATTTGCCTCCCCTGCCCCCTGTCCTTTGGGTGATATGAAGGATACTGAGAAAGCACAGCAGAAATGAGTACAGGACTGGACTACAGTCCTCAGGACCACATGCCTATTTCCTATTGGACCTCACACACTCATTTGCCTGTGACACCCACGAAGACCTGTGGAAGATCTCCAGTCTTTACATCTGCAACTGTATGGAAGATGTGGCACCTGGCAGAGAGCAAGCATGAACATTTGTGCTGTGCTTCAAAACAAGTCATGGCCACATAGTCATTGTGCTACACAGATCTGACCATCAGAAGCCTGAAGCCAGGCTGGTGAGTGGGGCCTGCATCTGGAGGGACAGAACCCAGAAGTGCTTAACAAAACCCTCTGAAGATGGCAGAAGAGAAGGCCAGACTGAGCCTTGCTCCCTCCCCAGGTCACCCATCCATTCAAGTACCTCTGGGTAGAGAGTCTGCTGCACGTACTGCCCATCAGGGTTTGTGTAGCAGGGAGACGATTTAATAGCCTTATTATCTATTCAGCATCTGCTTTGGCTTGGCTGACTGCAAGAGATGAGCATCTGCTTCATGTCCTTTTCATTAGTAATATCCAACCCATTTTAATTCTGCAGAACTGTATTCATTGCACACAGAAGATACAACAACATGTGGCAGAGAAAGTACAATCCTGCTTCCAAACTTGGGGGCTAAAATGAGGGGCTCACAGGGATTGAGGAGTAGGAAAATCAGGAGCAGCTCCCCAGGAGTCAGTAGTTGAAGAACAGGCAAAGGAAGGACGACCACACAAAGAGACAAGTGTACTGGTTGACTTGACCTGTGCCATGAACTACATAGCCCAACCACAGACATTAATTCTCAGTGCTGGAGGCTGGGAGGCCAAGATTCAGGTATAGGGAGAGCTGGTTTCTCTGAGGCCTCTCTCCTTAGCCATGGACAGCACCTCCTCCCTGTGTCTTTTGTGCACAAAAAGAAAGGGCAAAATCTCTTGTAAGGGCACTGGTCAGACTGGATTAGGTCCCTCCATGCATTATTTCTTTTCTTTTTTTTTTTTTTTTGGTATTGGGGATCGAACTTGTGTCCTTGCGCTTGCGCAGCAGGTGGCGAAACCACTGAGCTAAGTACCCGTCCCCATGCATTATTTCTCAAAGGCCCCATCCAAATACAGCCATGTTGGGGACCAGGGACCAAAACGTGGATCTGGGGAGACACATTTGGTCCAAAGCTGAAAGAATGAGAAGGACTAACAGGGAAAGAATGGGGCTTCTGAAGACA